GCGAGGGGGGATAAGGGGTAGGGGGGGGGGGTTAGCAGCTGGGGCAGGGCTAAGACGGTGGTGGAGGATCCAGTTTTGGGGAGAAGGAGCAGCTGGATTTCCTGAAGGAGCATCACATGTGGTTCTTCCAGCACTGCCTGCAGATCCTGCCACTGATCAGACACCCACCCGAACTCTGCTCCTGCCCTCTCCGAGGATCCAGTTTTGGGGAGAAGGAGCAGCTGGATTTCCTGAAGGAGCATCACATGTGGTTCTTCCAGCACTGCCTGCAGATCCTGCCACTGATCAGACACCCACCCGAACTCTGCTCCTGCCCTCTCCCCCCTGGCCAGATACCCACCCGAATCCTGCCCACCAGCACCCTGCTCCTGCCCCCTTCCCTTTGGCCAAACATACACTAGCATCCTGCTCCTGCCTCCTCCCCTCTGACCAGACACCCACCAGCACCCTGCTCCTGACCCCTCCCCCTGGCCAGACACCCACCCAAACCCTGCTCCTCCTCCCTTCCCGCTGGCCGGACACCCACCCTGCTCCTGCTCCCTTCCCCGGGCCAGACACCCACCTGAACCCTGCTTCTCCTCCCTCCCCACTGGCCAGACACCCACCCAAACCCTGCTCCTCCTCCCTTCCCGCTGGCCAGACACCCACCAGCACCCTGCTCCTGACCCCTCCCCCTGGCCACACACCCACCCAAACCCTGCTCCTCCTCCCTCCCCCCTGGCCAGACACCCACCCAAACCCTGCTCTTCCTCCCTCCCCGTTGGCCAGACACCCACCCAAACCCTGCACTCTCCCCCCGAGCCAGACAAGCCCATGATTGGGTCCCAGATCCCATCTGGCCGCAGCATCCTAACACTCCTGCACCCCCCACACATCCCAACCCTAACTCCATCATACACCTGAGCTTTCTGTCCTGAGCCCCTCCTGCAAATTCCCAGACTTGCTCTGTCAAATTCCCAGACTTTAAGACCAGAAGGGACCATCATGAGCATTGGGCCCAGGGATTCTCGGGAGCAAATTTTTGGTGGCTTCGGAGTCTGGCCAGCACCTCCCGCTGGAGGGGCCACTAAAACACTTAAAGGAGAACCCAATAAAAATATGCACATGGGGAAAGGGTCCCAGTATCACAGGGAACGTTCCTGATTTACACACGACCCCAGAGGAATACAATAGCAGAAGAATCCAGGTCCTCACTTCCATGGAATTTCCCTTGGAACTTGCCCTCCGTATGAATCCCTCCTCACACCCCGATCACTCATGGAGTCTCCCTCCTATGGGGAGTCTCTGAGGAGTTACAAGATTTCATCTTAATGTGAAACTTTTCCCACAGTCCATAAACATAGGGTTCTCCCTCCTCTATGGAGTCCTTGATCTTTATGAAGCTCCAACTTCCATATGAAACTCGTTGCCCAGATGAAGCGCTGATGAGGTCTCTCTCCTGTGTGGATGGCAGATGATACCAAACTGGGTGGGGTTGCGACTTCTTTGGAGGATAGGGACATAATTCAAAATGACCTTAGCAAGTTAGAGAAATGGTCAGAGGTAAACAGGATGAGGTTTAATAAAGAGAAATGCAAAGTGCTCCACTTAGGAAGGAACAATCAGTTCCATACATACAAGATGGGAAGCGACTGTCTAGGAAGGAGCATGGCGGAAAGGGATCTAGGGGTCATAGTGGACCACAAGTTGAATATGAGTCAACAGTGTGATGCTGTTGCAAAAAAAGCAAATATGATTCTAGGTTGTATCAACAGGTGTGTTGTAAGCAAAACTCGTGAAGTCATTCTGCCGCTCTACTCTGCACTAGTTAGGCCTCAGCTGGAGTACTGTGTCCAGTTCTGGGCGCCACATTTCAAGAAAGATGTGGAGAAATTGGAAAGGGTACAGAGAAGAGCGACAAGAATGATTAAAGGTTTAGAGAACATGACCTATGAAGCCAGGCTTCATGAACTGGGCTTGTTTAGTTTGGAAAAAAGAAGATTAAGGGGGGACATGATAGCAGTTTTCAAATATCTAAAAGGGTGTCACAAGGAGGAAGGAGAAAATTTGTTCCTCTTGGTTTCTGAGGACAGGACAAGGAGTAATGGGCTTAAAGTGCAGCAGGGGAGGTTTAGATTGGACATTAGGAAAAAATTCCTAACTGTCAGGGTGGTCAAATATTGGAATAAATTGCCAAGGGAGGTGGTGGAATCTCCCTCTCTGGAGATATTTAAGAACAGGTTAGATAGACATCTGTCAGGGATGGTGTAGACAGAGCTTGATCCTGCCTTGAGGGCGGGGGGCTGGACTCGATGACCTCTCGAGGTCCCTTCCAGTCCTATTATTCTATGATTCTATGATTCTATGACCAAGAAGGGTTGAGCGCTACATGAAGCTTTTCCAGTTGCAGCTCTTAAGGGATCTTTCTCCTGTGTGGATTTTCTGATGTGAAACCAGTGCTGAGCTTTGTATGAATTTTTTTTCCCCACTGTCAAAGCACTTATGAGGTGGTTCTCCTGTGTGCATTGCCTGTTGTTTAAGAACGTCGGACCTCCATGTGAAAGGTTTTCCATGGCTTAACACTTATCTTTTCTGTCTCCCATGTGGGTTAACCGATGGTGAATGAGGTCTGACCTCCTTATGAAACATTTCCTACAGTCTAAGCACTGATGGGGTCTTTCTCCACTATGGATTTTCTGATGTAACACAAGGTCTGGCTTCCTTATGAAACTTTTCCCACATTCCAGGCATTTATGAGGTCTTTCTCCCGTGTGGATTTTCTGATGTGTTAAAAGGGCTGACTTCACTGTGAAACTCTTCCCACACTCTAAGCACTTATGAGGTCTTTCTCCTGTGTGGATTACCAGATGCTGAATAAGCTCGGACTTTCTTTTGAAACTTTTCCCACACTCTAAGCACTTATGGGGTCTTTCTCCTGAGTGGATTACCAGATGTTGAATAACTGCTGACTTCCTTATGAAACTTTTTCCACAATATAAGCACTTATGGGGTTTCTCTCCCATGTGCAATTTCATATGTATAAGAAGTCCTGATCTCTGTCGGAAACTTTTCCCACAGTCTAAGCACTTGTGGGGTCTTTCTCCTGTGTGGACTGTCAGATGTCGATTGAGGTATGACTTATGGATGAATGTTTTTCCACAGACTAAACATTGATGGGGTCTCTCTCCTGTATGACTTGCCTGATGTTTAACAAGGTTTCTCTTCCTTTTGAAACTTCTTCCACACTCCAAGCACTTATGGGGTCTCTCTCCTGTGTGGACGGCCTGATGTTTAACAAGGTTTCTCTTCCTTTTGAAACTTCTTCCACACTCCAAGCACTTATGGGGTCTCTCTCCTGTGTGCACTGCCTGGTGGTTAACAAGTTTACGTTTTGAAATGAAAGCTTTTCCACACTCCAAACACTTATGGGATTTCTCTCCTGTGTGGACTGTCTGATGAGAAAGAAGAGATGACCTCTCTGTGAAACTTTTTCCGCACTCCAAGCATTTATGGGATCTCTCTCCTGTGTGGACAGCCTGATGTTTAATGAGATCTGACCTCTGTATGAAACTTTTCCCACAGTCTACGCACTTATGGGGTCTGTCCCCTGTATGGATTTTCAGATGTAAAACAAGGGAATAACTCCGTGTGAAACTTTTCCCACAGTCTAAGCACTGATGGGGTCTGTCTCCTTTGTGGATTTTCTCATGTGAAACAAGGGTGTATTTCCATTTGAAACTTTTCCCACAGTCTAAGCACTGATGGGGTCTGTCTCCTTTGTGGATTTTCTCATGTGAAACAAGGGTGTATTTCCATTTGAAACTTTTCCCACAGTCTAAGCACTGATGGGGTCTGTCTCCTTTGTGGATTTTCTCATGTGAAACAAGGGTGTATTTCCATTTGAAACTTTTCCCACAGTCTAAGCACTGATGGGGTCTGTCTCCTTTGTGGATTTTCTCATGTGAAACAAGGGTGTATTTCCATTTGAAACTTTTCCCACAGTCTAAGCACTGATGGGGTCTGTCTCCTTTGTGGATTTTCTCATGTGAAACAAGGGTGTATTTCCATTTGAAACTTTTCCCACAGTCTAAGCACTGATGGGGTCTGTCTCCTTTGTGGATTTTCTCATGTGAAACAAGGGTGTATTTCCATTTGAAACTTTTCCCACAGTCTAAGCACTGATGGGGTCTGTCTCCTTTGTGGATTTTCTCATGTGAAACAAGGGTGTATTTCCATTTGAAACTTTTCCCACAGTCTAAGCACTGATGGGGTCTGTCTCCTTTGTGGATTTTCTCATGTGAAACAAGGGTGTATTTCCATTTGAAACTTTTCCCACAGTCTAAGCACTGATGGGGTCTGTCTCCTTTGTGGATTTTCTCATGTGAAACAAGGGTGTATTTCCATTTGAAACTTTTCCCACAGTCTAAGCACTGATGGGGTCTGTCTCCTTTGTGGATTTTCTCATGTGAAACAAGGGTGTATTTCCATTTGAAACTTTTCCCACAGTCTAAGCACTGATGGGGTCTGTCTCCTTTGTGGATTTTCTCATGTGAAACAAGGGTGTATTTCCATTTGAAACTTTTCCCACAGTCTAAGCACTGATGGGGTCTGTCTCCTTTGTGGATTTTCTCATGTGAAACAAGGGTGTATTTCCATTTGAAACTTTTCCCACAGTCTAAGCACTGATGGGGTCTGTCTCCTTTGTGGATTTTCTCATGTGAAACAAGGGTGTATTTCCATTTGAAACTTTTCCCACAGTCTAAGCACTGATGGGGTCTGTCTCCTTTGTGGATTTTCTCATGTGAAACAAGGGTGTATTTCCATTTGAAACTTTTCCCACAGTCTAAGCACTGATGGGGTCTGTCTCCTTTGTGGATTTTCTCATGTGAAACAAGGGTGTATTTCCATTTGAAACTTTTCCCACAGTCTAAGCACTGATGGGGTCTGTCTCCTTTGTGGATTTTCTCATGTGAAACAAGGGTGTATTTCCATTTGAAACTTTTCCCACAGTCTAAGCACTGATGGGGTCTGTCTCCTTTGTGGATTTTCTCATGTGAAACAAGGGTGTATTTCCATTTGAAACTTTTCCCACAGTCTAAGCACTTATAGGGTCTCTTTCCAGTGCGCACTGCTTGAGGTTTAAGGAGGACCGACCTCTGCTGGAAACTGTTTCCACAATCTGATCTCTTATGGGGACAGCTCTTTCCTCTATGGACAGCTTGGTGTTTAAACAGGGCTGACCTTCTTTTGAAACACTTCCCACACTCTATACACTTACTGGGTCTTTCTCCTGTGTGGTTTGTCTCAGGTGTAATCAGCGCTGACTTCCAGTTCAAACGATTCCCTCCTTCAAGGAACTGATATCCTTGCCTTCCCATTTGGCTTTTCCTGTCAATATTAAGATCCAAGCTGTTATTCACACTTTCCCCATGGTCTGAGCATTGCAGGGGTTTCTCTCCAGCACCTACTGTCTGCACTGTAATAAGCTCTGGGCTCACAATAAATCCCTTCCCATAAATGAGCCATTCCTGGTGTTTCTCTTCCTTGAGGTCTGCCTGCTGGGCTGTGGGATGCTTACGTCCTTCCCCACATTTAACAGATTCATCCATATGCTCACTTGGGTGGTGTCTCAGGAGCCTCTCTGGCCTGGGCCAGTTTCCCCAGGCTTCTCGCTGTTCCAAGCACTGGGAAACATTCCCTTCAGCTCTTCCCACAAAGGTCGCCTGCGGTTCCATTTGCCCAGAAACTTCCTGCTGTTGATTCTCTTCCTCCTTTACATTTATTGTCACATCACCTGCTGGGAGAGAGAGACAATCCAAGGAGGAGTCATTGAGCTGGGGAGAAAGAGGAACAGCACCATGGGAAAACCCAACACGCTGAAATAGAACAGAACAAGCAATTGCATTATCCCACTTCTTCACACACAACCACTCACAAGGACGGAAATTAACAGTACGTCTGCGTCTAGACTGCATCCCTTTTCCGTAAAGGGATGCAGATTAGACACAGCGCAATTGCAAATGAAGTGGGGATTTAAATCTGTCCCGCTTCATTTGCATGCACATGGCTGCCACTTTTTTCCGGCTCGGGGCTTTGCCGGCAAAAAGCGCCAGTCTAGATGGGGATCTTTCGGAAACTAAAGCCTTTTCCGAAAGATCCTTTCTTCCTCTTAAAATCAGGAATAAGGGATCTTTCGGAAAAGGCTTCAGTTTCCGAAAGATCCCCGTCTAGACTGGTGCTTTTTGCCGGCAAATCCCCGAGCCGGAAAAAGCAGCAGCCATGTTCATGCAAATGAAGTAGGGGGAGATTTAAATCCCCGCTTCATTTGCAATTGCGCTGTGTCTAATCTGCATCCCTTTTACGGAAAAGGGATGCAGTCTAGACACAGCCTTCTGGTGGGAAACTGAGCAATGTCAACTGAGCACACCCTGCTCTGTGTGAGAACAGGAAGTACCGAGGGCAATTAGTGATACCTCATTTTTGGGTTGTCAGCTTTCTTCTTCATTCACCAGCTGGTTTCTGTGTCATTTCTCACCTGTGTGGTAGCCTCTTGGGATCTCTCTTTCCTCGTCAGCCTGGAGGTCGGGCATCCAGGGCTCTTCCCCTCGTTCCAGCCGGGTGATCAGCTCAGGTTTGCGAACAGAAAACCCTGTGCAGGGGGTGAAATCAGAGCAGATCAGGGCTCATGGAGGGTGGGGAGAGAGTGGAATCTGTCCCTGGGCTCTGCTGGGGAATGTGCAATCCAAGAGGACGGGAACATGGTCACTGAGCCCCCTGGGGAGAGGCAGACGTGTGGGGAGGTGAGAGGAACTGTGACGCCCTCACTAGGAGTTCCCAGGATCTGGGCAGTCCGGGGCCCTTGCTGACACTCACAGCTCTGCAGTTACACCCCTGCCTGTTTCTAAACCTGCAGAGCCCCGACCCCTCCCCATGGCTGGAGCGCGTCGCAAGGAGGGAGGGGAACAGGGATTCTGGGTGCGAGTGAGGAACATAGTTACACTCTTGCCTATTTCTAAACCTGTAGAGCCCAGAGCTTTCCTCACGGCTGGAGTTTGGCTCAAGGAGGGTGGGGAACAGGGATTCTGGGTGCGAGTGAGAAACAACACAGACAGGAGGATACATGGCCCCCCCGTCTTGAAATCTAGAGGGGCCGGGTGGGGATGATTTAGCACGTCCATTAGGGTTTGACACCCTGGTCTCACTGCACAGGGTGCGGAGATGCAAGTCGCTCTCCCCCGGCAGCTGTGCCCATGGAACCCATTCCTGTCCAGGCCACCTGAGCAGGGAAGAACCTGACCCGTGTCGGACACGCAGACCCCACGGCTCCTAATCCCCGAGGGGCCAGGACGCCCTTACCCAGCGAGGTCACCGCCTCGTAGTTCTCCTGCATGACGTCCCTGTAGAGGGCTCTCTGAGCGGGGCCCAGCAGCGCCCCCTGCCCCTGGGTGAAATACACAGCCACCTCCTCGAAGGTCACCCGCATCTGCAACAACAAGAGTCCCTCACCCACTGCCTGCAGCCCCAGCCACCATCCCCGTCATCACGGGGGGAAAACACTGAAGCTCTGGGAAGGCTGGAGAAGTAGAATCCCATCCCCAGCCTGTTTCCAGCAGCCAAGAGGCTTTGGGGGATGGGCAGAGAAATCCTCGTCCTCGTCCCCCTCAGAAGACGGAGAAGGGCAGGGCCTTCTGATGGCCACACACCTACTAGACCAAGGGGTCGGCAACCTTTTCAAACCAAAGAGCCAAACTACATCAAAATTCGGACCATGTGGTCCACACACAATCCATATAAGAATGCAGGAGTCAGTGCGGGTTTGGGTGTGGGGGGGGGCTCATGGCAGAGTGTGGGGGCTGCCGGAGTTGGGTCAGGGAGCTCAGGGCAAGGGGTTGAATATATGGGCAGGCTCGGGGCAGGAGGTACAGATGGCAGGTGTCAGGACAACAATGGAGGGGAGGGCAAAGGCAGGAGGCGGGGGTGCATGCCCAGGACGGCTGGCTTCTGGTTTAGAAATGGAATTTATCCCACCCTGTTTCCTCCCTGTCCCTCCCTCCCTCTGCCCAGCAGCTTCCTGAAACCCCCTACCTGAGCGGGCTCCATCCCGGCCATTGCCTGGCCCTGGCTCCTGGCAGACGGGTGCTCAGGAGTGAACTCTCGACGTGTCTCCTTGGCCTGTCGGACAAGAGGGGGGAGTGGGGAGGTGTCAAAAGGGGCTTGAGTCCCTGTAGCACCCCGAGTCCCTCCAGGTCTCCTGCAGACACTTTGGATTCAGGGGTAGAAAAAGAGCAGAATCCCAGAAGCCACTTCCCCATCCTGCCAAGTGCGCTGTGTCCAGCAAGGCCTTTCATCTCAGCGCCTGCAGGGATGGATCAGGGCAAGGTGGGAGCTTCCCTCCCTCCCTTGTTGCTCCCAGCACCATCTCTGCCGGGGAAGGGGGCAGTGGAGTAGCGGGAACCAGGCATAACCCTGGAATCAGCTGAGTCCCAGGTCACGCCCAGTCTCAGACACTGCACCTCTGCTCTTTTAAAGCTGTCCTGGGCTCACAGCGGGTCCCCGGCGCTGCCCACCAGTCTTTAAAATGTATTGAGACTGAGCCAACAGCTCTTCATATATTTAAAAGGCAGAGGTGCAGCAGGGTTAGCTCCCCGGGGGTGGGGGCCAGGAGCTAGCCCCGTTGCAGCTCCCTCCCTCATTGACTAATCGACAAGTCGATGGAAATTCCGTCAACTAGTTGATTAAACTAAATTTAACATCCCTAGCTAGAAGCGGGTGAGGCTCCTGTTTTGGGATGCAGCCGGGGGAGCCCAGGGCTGGGGAGGGCCCAGTTGGGATGGGACTGATTTTGGTGCCGACAAGATCTGTTCTGTGCCGTGTCCCCGGCCACTCCCCTCCCCGCCTTCTGTTTTCCCAGCCCGCCGACCCCGGGGCTACCGAGGTGGGAGCCTGGCCTGTGGGAGGGGCGTGTGAGGCTGCCCCGGGGGGTCCCGTCCAGATGGATTTCCAGAAGGGAGCTTGCGATGTGAACAGAGTGCTGGACGCTCCGAGCTCAGACCTAGGGAACTTCTGGCCCGGGGGAGAGGGAGCCCGAAGGGGACACCCCCACACTGTTTTGCCTGGCTCCATTCAGAGGGGGCCCAGGGCACGGTGCCTGGGACTCTGTGGCCCAGGGTTGTCGGACACCCCCGGGTCCTGCCCAAGCGCCGGTTGCCTCCGCTAGCAGGGGAGTCAATGGGGGTGCTTTGTTCCTTCTCTTTCTGGGTGCTTTGGAAAAAGCTGGGCCCCGCAGGGGACCTAGATGCAACAGGCCAGTGTGTGCCAAGCCCCGGGCACACGTGTGTGTTGCACAGACCTGGCCTGGCACCTTTGTGAGCATCCCAGGCACAGACTCGCTGCCCTGCCCGTCGG